GAAATACAGAATGGGAGGCATTGGGGTGTGGGGTGACCTCAGAGCCACCTTGGGGGCACCAGGGAGAAGCGAGAAGCCAGGCAAAGCTGAGCTGGCACCTGGAGCTGGGGCAGGGGCCGTGGCAGGGAGCTCACCTGCGACTTGCCTGGCAGATGGGTGAGGAGGAGGAGGGCAGATGACAATAGATTTGCCTCTGGGGATCCTGATGAGCTCTGACTGAAAACCCCAAACCCAGACCTGCTTTTCTAGGAGGATGACTTTCTGGCAGCAGGGAGAACCCACTGGAGGCTGACAGACCTGGGCTGGGATCCTGGCTTCAGTCCTGACAAGCTGTGTGACCTTGGGCAAGTTATATAACGACTCTGAGTCTCAGTTTCCTTCTCTGTCAGAGTAGAATAACAACACCATGGCTGAGGTGAGGACTGGATGACATCATTCAGGCAAAACTGGGACACAGCCCATTGCCTGGCACACAGCGGGTGCCCAATAAAGGTGACAAGTTAGAATCCAAATATCCACTCCTTGTTTCTGCTGCTTCCCCATTCCCCCTCACCCCCCATTTTCTATCCCATCTCCAATTCCTTGGCCCCTCCCTTAGAGCAGGTTAATGGCCAAGAAGCCACAAGATCAGGCCAGGCCATTAAGGCCAGCCAATGTTTCATCCTAAAAGGACAATAGGAGGAGGCTTGGGCCCCCGCGTCTCTGCAGGATCTCTGGCCCTCTTCTTTTCTGGAGCTCCTCTGTCTCCTCCAAAAGTTGGGGGGGTTGTCTCTTGCATGGAGAACTCTCTCAGCAACCCTTGCCCTGACTGGAAGATGTGGTTTCTTGAGGAAGGAGAGCTCTAGGAGGTGAGGCCATGAGGGGGCACTCCGGCTGAGAGAGAGCCATTTGCTTTTACTTGGGCACCTTTGACCTCAGCCTGTGGATTCCAAAGGGCTCCTGTCCCCAGTTCGGGCATCCCATAATTTTAGCAAAGAGGGGCGAATTGGGCTGGGAGTGGGGCTTTGTCCCTCAAGAGCAAGGAAGAGCAAAAGGAAACAGGTGGGGTGAAAGAGGGGAGAGACATCACCCCTACCCTATTTCCCAGACGGCACCGTGGTCTCTTCCTCAGGTTGGCTTTGGACACTGTGGGAAGTGAAGGTTCCAGGGCCCTCCAGCTCCTCATAAAGGGGGTCATCACGGAAGAGGCCACGCAGCTGTCTTCTGGTGCAGAACAGCAAGGGGGAGCTGAGGTATCTCTTTCATGGAAATGTGGGCAGCCTCTGGACATTCTCAGTGAAGGCTTCACTCTTAAAAAGCACCCGCAAATACCCAAATGAATGAATGTGCAGATGAAGGGCCCAGGTTGATTTAAGCCACCAGTTAAAGTCATACAAGGAATCATGAGCTATTAGGTCTCTGTCTCAAGTGCAGGAAAGAGCGGACTAGAATTCCCTGACTGTATTCTTGGGCCTTGTGGAGGAGCCCCAGTTTAGGGACTAAGAATGATGGGAAAATCTCATCCTGTACCCTTACTTTGCAGAGGAGGAACCTGGGACTCAAAAAGGGAGGTAAAATAAGCCAGGGCCACAGGGTGAGGCAGGAAAGCCAAGTACGTGGGCTTCTGTCTCTCAGTCCAGTGCTCTTCTCCACCTGCACCATGAATCTGAAGGGACCTTTTCTAGGCTACTTGTTCAGTCCCAGCTGAGACTACAAGGGGCTGGAGTTTGGGGAGGCAGTGAGGAGAGCTGCTAGGAGAGGCTTACCCTGAGGAGAGAGAAGAGGGGAGGTAGCTCGGAAGGTTTCTTAACTCCCTCTCCCACCCCAACACACATACAAACACACAACAGCATGAATGTTATTTCCAAATGTCCCTTCTCTGGGGAGCTTGCCGTTTCCCAGGAGACGCCTAGTGGAGATGCCCCTTCCTGCCAGCTTCCCTGGCAGCCACTAGGTGGCCGTGGCTTCCTCTTCTGCTTGGAGATGCCACAGTGAGGGTCCCACGTGGTTTTTATTAATAGGAAGTAGAGCTGAGGGCTGCAGGCACTGAGGATGGGGCAGGCCAGGTGAGGGTGGGTTAGCAACCAGGCCTATGGGTAGAATGAGGCAGCAGAACACAAGGCCACATCGACCAAAGATCTTAGGCAGCTTGGCAGACACAGATACATGTGCTGACCTGATTCTGGTTACCAGAGAAAAAAATGCTCCCTGGCATCTTTTATCCCAAACTGAAAATGTTTTTATTGTGTTTTCCCCTTGAATATAAAAGTAATGCATGATTGTTGTAAAAATGTGTAATTTTCAGTCCGCTCAGTTTGTTAGATGGCAGTCTTGTAACACGAAAGTCACAGGTTTGGATTCCCATACCACCCAGTCCCCACCCCCTGCCCCCCCCAAAGTAATTCCAACAAAAGGGAATGAACAAAAGCCCCAGTATCAAATTTTAGGATCTGTGTTTTCTTATAGGAAAGTAATTAACCTCTGGCTGAAGAATCTTTGGCAAAAGTCTGCTGTATTCAGGAAGGAGAGGGGAAGCATCATGACACTGTGGAATGTTCTAGAGTCTTGGCAGTCCCCCTGCAGCAAACACCTTTGTATTGGAGTAGCTGCTGTGTGTGTCTCTCTGTTGCTCCCCAGAAGATGGGCGGTTTCAGAGTGGTGGGCTTCCCACCCTGTCTGTGTTCATCCCCACACTCTTACCTGTTGGGTGCACCATGCTGCCCCGGTGTGGTCATTCAGTAAACATGGGTTGGAAGAATAAATTAATGAACTCACAGAAGAGGAAACAGGCCCAGAGACAGACACTGAGTCACTAGAGTGGCCCAGATCATGTTCACAAACACGACTGCCACAGGTCTGGAAAAAATGGACTCAAATTCTCCACCAGCTGTCTCTTTCTCAGGACTGAGGGGAACTACAGGTTGGAGCTACCCCAAAGGACCAAACCCATATAAGAAATTTCCCAGGTCTGGCCATTGGATGGGACAGGTCTGAGGCGCTAGAGGGAAACTGTCAGGGCTTGTAGGAAGAAAGACCCCATGCAGAGAGTGATAGGAGTGGTGGGGAGCCTGATATGAATTTAGATATTAAACCCATGCCATGCCAGTAAGATGGAGAACAGTTGTACCCCTCTACCTGACAAGGGGGTAGCTTTTGCTAGAAGGCCTGAGGTTATCTTCCAGTTAAGAAGGGATTTAAGCATATTGAGGAGACTCACCTCCCTTGATGAATCCACCCAAAACAGCAGCAGAGATGGAGGCCAGCCCCTCATCTCTCTTTCTTCTTCCTCCCAGACAACTTAGGTAGGGTCTGGCCATCAACACATTATATTTCATCCCATTTGGCCATTGACAACTGGGAGGTCTTAACCCCATTATACAGATGAATAAACCAAGGCTAAGAAAGGTAAAGTGACTTGCCCAGGCCACAAACCAAGTGGCAGATCTAAGAAGATGCTCCAGTCTCAGGCCTGGGCTGCAGATGCTCTTTCCACTAAGGTCTCAGCACTTGGTTTCAGTGGTGAGGATGGGGGAGGGCACCATCTGCTAGATTCTGGGGACAGGTCCTCATAGAGGTCTTTGGCCTTCTTTCGAGTTCAAATCCATGTGGGGTGTCTTGTGTTGTTTGGGCAGACCCTGTCCCTGCCTTCCCTGAAAACTGCAATTAAGGTGCCCAAGGAGGCATGTGATAAGACACGTGTCACAAGGCCTTGGCCCATGTGACCAATGCTCCTCAGAGATTTCATCTTTCCTATTTTGCCAGGGCTTGCTCTTCTCCCAAAGTTCTCGATCCATCACTGTGCTCCTTCCCCACCCCAACCCCTCCATACCCTCCTGGAGAAAGCACAAAACCTTTGCTGAGAATGGACGCTGAGACCGGCGTTCGTGGCCCAGGGCAGGCACCTTAGACGAGAGTACTGAGTTGGACACTGCTCCGCTTCTCCCTGGGGTTCTCCCCGATCACCACCGGGACAGAGGGTGGGCTAGGCCTCCCTTCCAGCCCCAGCCGGCCGCCTGAGGAACGGCTAGCGGCGAGGGCCGGTAAGGGGCCTGCAGATGCTGCCTCTGCCCCCCTTCCTTGGCCGGGGGCCTCCACGGTGTCGGGGAGCAGGAGGAATCAATCAGGATAATGAAGCCGCAGCCTGCCACGCACTGCGGGGACACTGAGGAGCGGGGGCCGGTGCCAAGTCCGCCAGACTGTTCGGAGGAGCAGAGACCGGCGTGGCCCGACGGCTGCAGTGGCGGAAACCCGGAGCCGGCGCGCAAAAGCCAGACGCAGCTCTGCGTAGGCCCCTGGCAACGACGCGCGCCGCGCCGTGGCAACCGCGACGCCCGAGAGAAATCTTAAAGCTGCAGCGCCTCCTTTCCCCGCTGCTGCAGTCGCCGCCAGGACCCCGAGAGAAAGGGTCGCGCCTAGAACGGTTGGTGGTGGGAGTCGAGCTCTATGACTCTCGGAATTTGGGGGTCCGACTCACACCCTCACCCCTTTAGCAAATGTATATTGAGTGTTCGCGCCTAAGCACGGGCTAGACATGGGAGGGGAATGGGCGGCGATTTAAAAATGAACGAGATCCTGCCAAGAGTTCACAGTCTAGCGCGCAAGGCAGACCATACTGGCTGAGGTGAGCAGAGCCCTGTGTTAAACAGGATAAAGGGGCTTTGGCTGGAGGGCCGAGGGGCTGTTACAAAATATTCCTGCAGCACCTGCCTTGCTCCAGGCCTTCGGTTGGACGCTTCTTTCCTGGGTTGTGTTATTATTTTTCCCACAGCCCTGTGAGATAGGTATTATCAACATTATCGATCCCTTTAAAAATATATATATATAAAGATGACCGGTGAGGGGATCTTAACCCTTGACTTGGTGTTGTCAGCACCACGCTCTCCCAAGTGAGCAAACCGGCCATCCCTATATAGGGATCTGAACCCGTGGCCTTGGTGTTATCAGCACCACACTCTCCCAAGTGAGCCATGGGCTGGCCCTCGATCCCATTTTAAAGATGAAGAATTAGAGGCCCAGAGAGGTGAAGGGACTTAGCCAAAAATCTCGTTTTATTTTCTGGAGAATCTAGGACTGGGTCATAGGTTCTAAGACTCTGACCAGCCTTCTTTATGCATCACATCTGGAAGGTTAGACTGAGTGAGAACTTCCCAATATAAATTATGTAAGAAGTGAGAAAGGAGAAAAGCTAGCTGAAGGAAAAGATGGATACTTCACCCTTCTATTACTGACCACTACCCTGACCCTTTCTGCCCTTGTTCTTATGAGCAGGCCTGGATGTGGGCAGGGGACTAAATGAGGTGACCTCCAGACGTCCCTCTGGTTATGTGATTTGATAGCTCCTGCCTGAAGTCCAGGCATTGCACCACTTTTCTGGGCAGTAGTAGTTGGCAAGGGGCTGCAAACTGGGGGGATTCCAGAGTTCTGAAACAAGGGGTCAGGGTTGGTGGAGGAGGATTGGAAGGGTAGCGAGGGAGCTTTGGCAGAAGAAACCTCGAGGGCTGGCCCCGTGGCGCACTGCTACAGTGTGCCGCTTGGGAGCACGGCGGCGCTCCCACCGAGGGTTTGGATCCCACATACAGACGGGTTCCCGCTCACTGGCTGAGCGAGGTGCGGCCGCAACACCGAGGGTTGCGATCCTGTTGCCGGTCCCGGTACGGGCGCGACACTGGGGGTTGCGATCTGTTGCTGGACACGAAAAAAGACAAAAAGGAAAAAAAAAAAAAAAAAGAAGAAGAAACCTTGAGTCAGTGTCACTAGGAAGGCGGGGACTCATCTTCCCTTCTCTTGTCCACCTATCTCTTTCTGCACACCCATTCAGGCAAGAAATCTGTGTCAGGGCCTGGGGTAGGCTCAGAGGCTGTTGGTGAGGCAAAAAGCATGCGGGCTTTGGAGCCAAGCTCATCCGGTTTCATATCCCAGCATTGTCATTTACCATCTATGTGACCTTAGGCAGGTGACTTAACCTCCCTGAGCCAGTTTCCTCATCTGTAGAATGGAGGCATTAATATCTACCTTTCGGGGTTATTGCGAGACAAATGGGATGAGAAAAATGTATGTACAGTGTTTGGCACCTGATACTTAAAAAATGGTAAATTTAAAAATGTCTTTGCTTATTTTGGTAGTCCGATAATGTCTGCCAAAGATATGTCCACGTCCTAATCCCCAGAACCTGTGATTGTTACGTTATCTGGAAAAAGGGGTCTCTGCAGATATGATTAAGATAAGAATCCTGAGATGAGGAGATTATTCTGGATCATCTGGGTGAGCCCTAAATGTCACCACAAGTGTCCTTATAAGGCAGAAGCAAATAAAATCGGGGGGGAGGTAGATTATACACACAGAAGAGTAGAAAGCAATGTGAAGATGGAGGCAGAAATTGGAGTGACAGGGCCACAAGCAATGGAATGCTAGCAGCCACTAGAAGCTGAAAAAGGAACAGATTCTCCCTGAGAGCCTCCAGAAAGAGCATAGTCCTGCTAACACTTTGATTTTGGCCTGGTGAAACTGATGTTGAACCTCTGGCCTCCAGAAATGTGAAAGAATAAATTTCTGTTGTTTTAAGTCTCCAAGGTGTGGCAATTTTTTACAGCAGACTAGGGAAACTAATATGCCTATACTGGAGATTCAGTCTTCAGCAAAACCCAGGAGTTCACTATCTAGCAGGAATAGAGGGAAGAAAACAGATAGTGCATGGGGGCACCTAGAAAGGAGATACCTTGCCATAACTGGGGAGTGGAGGGGTAAGGTGGGTAAGGCTGTTGGAGTTGGAGAAGGAGTTAGCCAAGTGAGAGGCTAAAGCAGGAAGGGCATTCCAGGCAGAGGAAACAGTGAGTAAAGGCATGGAGTGGGAGGGAACAAACACTGCCTTCAGAAAACTGCCTAAATTTGGGACGGCAGGTGCGTGGGGGTATGGGGAATGGCATGACAGAACTGCTGAGATGGGCAGCAGCAGCAAGAGAGCCAAGGGACTTGGCTTACTCCAGAATGGAATCAACCCCTCCACCCTGTACTGGCACTGGGCCCTACATCAGAGAACCCCAGACTGTCAGTACTGGAAAGAAGCCTTAAGAGATCATCCAGTACAGTCTTGTCACTTCACACATAGGGAAACTGAGGCTCACAGAAAGTGAGCCCACCCAGAGAATAAGCTAGAACTAGATGGACACACTCTGGCCTCTCTTCTGAGCCTGGGTGTCCCATGTCTTGGGTCTCAAAGATGCTGCCTGGAGGTCCCTCTGAAATCCACTTCCCAAAAGCACCAGCCCTGTGGTCTCTAAACAAAGAGGGTGTTATTTGCATATTATTTGCATGTTGCTAATTAGATGAGAGAGGCAGATTGATTCAGCCCCTCCCCTTCATGTCCCCCTGTCCTATCTTACTCACATCAAGTTGTTCTTTCTTATACATCTCTTGACCTCAGCAACTTCTCCCAGAATTCCAGCCCAGGCCTCATCCCTCAAATTCCCTTATCCAGCCCCAGATCAACCCCTACTGTAAACTATAACTACTACTATAAACTATAACTACTATAAACTACTAAACTATATTGTTTAGTCCTGCCTGGAAAAAATTCCTGGTTAGTTTTTAGTGTAAAAAACGGATCCGGATGGTGGATCTTGGAGGTTACAATTGAAGGGGAGGTGATTGGCTTTCCAGCTTAAAGTTTTCTCTGCAAATGGAGAAAAGTGAGCTCTGTCTCACTGTAGCCCAGGGGCCATCTGAATGGGGCTATGGGAGTGGGGGAGGAGAGTGTTCCTTGGGGATCTTATGGGCAGGTGCCAGCTGCATGCTCCAGGCCTGCCCCAAGCCTCTTGGCTGGCAGCCACACCAGCCCCCGGAGGAGCCGGCTCCTTCTCTTAGGGAGGGGGAATGCTGAGGAAGGTCTGGAAGCATCACTTGGTCTGGCAGCTTAATATGGGTAAGGTTGAAGTCACCATGTGAGTTACTGTGGATCCTTCAATGGGGACAGCACATCTAGATTTTCAGGGCTGCCATCAACCCAGAAAATTGTAAGGCACTGCTAATCTAAGCATGATTCCTCCTTGAGGATAGGCCCTCAATAAGTGCTTTCAGACAATGAGAGGCCACTGGTCTCCTGGAGACAGTTAAGGAGAAGAGATCACAGAGAGGTACAGATTCTGCCTCTTTTGCCTCCCAATTGCCCCTTCTTCCCTCTGAAACCAAGGCTGTGCCCAGCACCTCTCCCAAGTGAGATGTTTGAGCCTGTCATTTGGTGGTCACCAGAGAAGGCACCACACTGTGGCCAAGACAGTGTACAGGATGACCTCAGGTGCCCCCTGCTTCCATTCCGGCAGAGGAGCTGCAGGGCTCCATCACCATGGCTGACTCAAGGTAGCTGCCAGGAGCTGGGAATTAGGATCCATGGAAAAACCTGGGGCAAAGTTCAGGATAGCAACTTGCAGAAGTCAGCTTGTTCTGGGTTAGAACAATGGCCTGCATATGGAAAGAAAGACCACCCGGCCAAGTGTAATTCCTCTCCATACATAGGTGATGTGTGAGCTATGTGTGCATGTGCTACAGGGGCCTCAGCAAACATCCAACCTGCATGCACGGCTGCGTGCATACATTCCAGTGTGCACAAGTGTATGTTGTGTGTGAATGTCTTCATGGAATTCCACCTTCCTTCTTCTCTGCAGAGCAGTCCTTCTCTTCTTGTTTCCTTGGTCCTGAGTGGGGAATCCCAGCTCCTTACTGGTCTATGTGACCCCATCTTGCACCAATTCCTCTGCCCTGGTAGCTCCCTCTTCCCCTAGTGTGTCCCATGCCACTACTTCATCTAGTGTCCAAATCTAATGGAGAGGCAGAAGGAACTTGAGATGATGCTGTGGGTGTGGGAGGAGGAAGGGTGGATCGGATACTGTTCAATTTTGCCCAGGTCCCCTTGGAGCACTGCTGCTCATTTAAAATTCCAATTTAAAGCTGAGCGGCTCTTTAAATTTCCACATTAGCATGCTGCCCTGATGCCAGGCCAAGATGTTGGGATGAATTTGGCAGGAACGCCTCCAACAGCGGCAAGCAGCAGCGTTTTCCAGCAGTAAAACAACGCATGAATAAAAGAAGGCCGCTTGGCAACAGCAGCAGCCCAGGTAGCTGGGTGAGCCCAGGAGGGGCTCTCATATGTGGGGGTTCAGAGGCATGAAGCCCTGTGCAAGGGCGTGTGTGGGTGTAGGCCTCTGTGGCTGTCTCAGCCCTCATGGAGTGAGGGCCCAACCAAGATCGGGTTTTCTCCCTTGTACCTGTTTTCTCTCCACCCCCTTGGGTTATCTTCTTGGAAGGGACAGATGTTGCCTTTGATGAGGACACAAGGACTTGGCCTGCAGCCTGAGTTGTCCTGCTTTATTAGGGCCTAGAGAACAGGTGAGGTCAGAGAGAGCAACACTCCCCAGAATGGTTTCCAGATCTATGACCCTAGATACCTGGGCGCTGAGGGGCAGTGTCAGGATAAGGGAATTGACTGAGTGAGAGGCTGCTGTGTGAGGACTGGATATTGGTGCTAAGCTGGATCAGAGAGGCACTGGACTGGGAAGCTGGCAACTGTGTGCTTGTACAAGGTTAGGAATGGAGAGTGGCCAGGAAAATCAAGGAGCTACCAGGCCTGGCCTAACTTTAACACCCCACAGATTTGGGAATATTGTTTGAGGTCAGATGGCAAAGGCAGCAAAGGAGTCAGATAAAGCCCTGGGCTGGAGGCTTGACACTCCCTAGAGGTCATTTTGACCACTGCCTGCTTCCCAGGGTCTAGAGAGTAGAGCCCCAAAGGACTTGTTGTTCCTGGGTCCTGTGTTCCTCTTCTCCAATCACCTGGCTGAGACTCATCACCCAGCTCCCCAGACATTTCAAGGAGCAAGCAGCCTGCCCTGCTTCTGGTAAACTCTCTCTCCTACTTGGTTTAACCATCTCCTTTCCTGATGCCCAGGAGGAGGACAGAGGTAAACAGAGGGGTGGCAGCAGATGGTCTCTGCAGTCACAGCTAAAACAGAAAAGGAAAGTTTTTCTCCAGAGCACCCATCTTTGATGGAATTCCCATCCCCTCCAGCTCACATGAGTGATTTCAGGCCCCCATATGGGGAGAAATTGTTGGGACTTTGAATTCTATCAATCCCTGGAGAAGCTGAGAGCAGACAGGCAGGGCCAGGCTCTAGCTGAGCAGGGACGCCATATCCTGGAACTAGGGCTGGTCCTGTTCTGATGGATTTTTCCAGGGAGAACCTCCCAGATACCCTATTCTCTAGTCCACACATTGAGGTGGGTCAGCTGTGGGGTGAGGGAGTGGCTAAGAAGTTGAGTTTAGACCAGAGAGATATCCCTCTGTCATTTTATTCATTCAGTCAGCAAACATTTACCAAACAGCTGCTTTATGCTAGGTACTGTGCTGGGCACTGGGAGCACACTGGTGAACACAGGCACATCCACGGTGGTCACTGCCCCTATGGAACTTTTCATCCAATGAAACTAGGATCATTATTCAAATGATTGCACAAATAAGTATGAAATAACTGTGCTAAGTGCATTGAAAGAAAGATAAATAGTGCCACGAAAGTACTATAATTGGGGGACTTGACTGAGTCTAAGGAGTCGAGGATGAGTTTGCAAAGTAGACAGAGAAAGAACAGCCAGAGTGGTGGAAGAACTGGCGGTGACATCACAGAACCAAAGGAGGAGGTGGTCAACTGTGCTGAGATGCTGGGAGCTCATGAGACATCTATTTACCCTGACCCCTCACCCGCTAGTTGTGAGTACAGGTATGGAAAGGCTCTGGCATTGTGCCTGGCTCACAGTTGGTGCTCTGTAATGTTAGCTCCCTTTCCCCATCCCCATGCTGAGCCTCCCTCCAGGGATGCCAGATTTCTAGAACAAAGAAGCTGCCCAAGCTTAGCCTTGTCTGTCAACTCAGGCCTCCAAACCCCAGCCATCTAGTCCTCAGTGAAAAGCACTGGGCCTCTCCCTTCCTCTCCAATTAGTCCCATCACATGTAGCCCTACTATCCCCTAACCTACTTTCTCCTTTCACAGATCTTCCAGGAAGAGGGGCTGGGGTCTGGGTCTCAGAGAAAGATGCCATTCTGGCTCTGCTTCTGGGGCTGAGCCTGAGAAGAAAAGAGAGTTGGAATCCTCAGCAGCTCCCAGTGCTGCTCGGGGTGAATCTGAGTGTCTTAGGTGGGGAGAAGGAGTAGTGAGGAGAAGGGGAGGGGGACTGCCCACCCAAGGCGGCGTAGAGCCCAGAGCCTTTTCCATCGCAGACACCCCATCTGTCTCCCACAGAAGGCTTGGGTTGGAAGAGGTGTGGAAAAGGGGGGTATGGTGGGTGAAACTGTACAATCTGTGAACTAGCATGATGGCAGTGAAGATGCTGACCGGGGAAAGGGATGGAGGGTTAGGGTGGGGTGTCAGCAGGTCTGCTGTCTTGGCTGCTGAGGTCTAGAGGTCAAAAGTTGGGACTGGAGGTGAGGAGAATGATAGGGACACTGTGGCATAACTCTCCCTAGACAAGCTTTGTGTTTAATTTTGATTTATTAGCTCTCTGCCCTACCCACCACAGAGCAAAGAGTCATACCCCTCCTGCCAACAAACTAATAGAAGACCAGCAGTGGAGAGAGCTGTGGGAAGGGCCTTTTCTAAGCCCAGGGCTGGGCTGGATTCATGACATCTCCCTCTCCAAGCAATCAGAACTTTTTCAGACCTTAAGATAGTATTTTTTAGTTAAATTTGACAATTTACAGAGTGTTTTCTTTCACACATTCTTTTAGGTGATCCTGCTAAAGTCTAGTGAGGTAAATATATTATTGTTCTTGGTCTACAGATGATGCAACAAAGGGTTTAAAAGATTAAATGAATGATAGCCAG